TGTGCATGCTATATTATCTCTCCCCTTCAGCATTACAGCTCATGACTCAGCAGCTGGGAAGATTTTATTTGTGAAATCCTAATGGAAAGTTAAGTGGATGTAGAGTGTCAGGGGCCTCATTTCTGACCCATCCTGGCCTCTCATAGGCTGGTAAACTTAGGTCACCTTTAACCTACTTGGGTCTCTGTTTCCTGGACTGTTATGGAAGAAAGAGCCCAATTTGGGGAGTCATAGTAACTTGGGTTGAAATCCCAGTTCTACCACTCACTAGCTACCTGAGCAGACAGTTCATTTTTCTGGGGTCCAGTTTCCTTCTCTGCAAAATAGGCACAATTCTGCTTCCCTCGTAGAGTGCGGTAGGATCACATGAAACTCTATCTGTAAAGCATCTGTAAACGTAGACAATCATTTACATTAGTCCACAGGCTCCTTCCTTTCCCTGACTGTCATGTGAAACCATTGTGAGGATCCCTCAAATCAGGTGCTTCACATAGGCGTGTAATGGTGACAGCTGTGAAAGAGCTACTCTCCGTTTGTCAGCTACTGCATTCCAGGCACTGTTACTAAACCCTCCACATTTAATCCTCACGGCTATTATCATTCCCATTTTACAGAGGAGACAACTGAGACCTGGGGAAATTAAATACCTTGGCCAAGGCCACATAATTAGTAAATGCTGAAACCAAATTTGAACATAGGACTGTCTGACTCCAAATCCTGTATTTTTAAATAAAGAGTTATTTTTCTATTATAACCTGATTTGTACAGTACACTGTAAAGAGGGAGAAATAATGAATCCCACTGAAGAAGAATGAAGTGGAAAATTTCTCTTCAGACAAGCCATGTCTCTAAACAATTTATCCTTTGATATATGAACAGTTATCCAGTTCAATCCATTAAGGGATCCAAAGAATGGGCCTCATACGAAATTTTAAAAATATCCTAATAGCCTAAAAGAGTTGATAATATGCAATTAAAACATCCTGTCTGAACCCAGAGTCCTGCCCACCCTGCCACACAGGCCCTTATTTCCCCAAAGAAATCTTTCATTCATGGATTCTCCATGGCAACAGATTGCAAAAGCTGAATGATTTCCTCCCAAGGCCCCACTGCCACGGGCAGTTAAAAGAGATTCTGTACATGCACAAGGCAACAGGAAGGAACACAGAGTAGATGACAGGAGCCTCCAAAATTACTCTGCCACATCTGATTCTTAGGTCAGTTATTGCATCTCTCGAGGCTCAGGTGCCTCCTGTGACATGAGCTGATGACAGCCACCTCCATCCTCCCAGGGCTGTCATGGCAGTGAGTAGTAAGTGCAAAAGAAAGAGGGAATTAGTCCTATTCAGTCTGGCTTCTAAGGAAGGGGTGCTGGGCAATACAGAGCATTTGAAAATTATTACTAAGACTCAAAAAACTTTAATAGTCATATTGATAACAACCGCAATTACTGACAGCTTCCCCTAGCACATTTTACACATGTTGTCTAGTTAACCCTTGTAGCAGCCACCGTTTAACAAAGAAGGTAAATGACTTTCCCGAGGGCACAGAGGCACTAGGCAGAGAAGCCCTGATAGAACCTGGGACTACCAGCCTCCAGAGCCTGGTTCCATATTATCAACAAGCCACCTAACCTCAGATGCTACTCAAAGCCCAGGAAAAGCTCAAGCGGTCTTAACTATGTAAGACTCCTCTGTGCAAGTTCTTTCCCTGGGGAAGGTGATATGAACTTTAATGATAATCCTTGTCATGTGGTCAGCCCTTTTCAGTTTACACAGCTTCTTTCCACCCAGAATATGATGTGAAAATCAAAATAACACTGAGGATAAAGCCAGCCAGAATTAGTAACCCCATTTTACAGGTGAGAAAATAGAGACTCAAGGTAGCCCAGCCGGCAAGGGAAGGAGTCAGGACTCAAAGCCAGGTCAGCCTGGCTCCAGGCTCAGGACTCTGAACCATCCCATGCCACTGACACTGTGTCCTAACACCAGCAGTCCACAAGCAGTGTAGACAGCTGTGGTCTGATGTCCTACCCTCTGACTGCCCCCTCTCCAAACATCTCTCTCTGAAGCTCTGGATGGCCCATCTGGCCTGGTGACAGCCAACATCACTGACTCGGAAGCCCTGGCCATGTGGCAGCCAGCCATTGCCACCGTGGACAATTACGTCATCTCCTACACAGGAGAGAAAGGTAAGGTCCTGCCCAAAACTCCCCCTGACTCTGAGGAGTGTCTTATCCTCCCTTCTCTGTGCCACATTCACATTTGGTACAGGGGGACAAAAGTATGTGGGTAGGTTGGAAAGGCCAGTAACGTCCTTGTAGCTTTCCATTGCAACCTTAAGGGAGTCTGATAGTCCATTTAAAGAAAAAAAGGTACATCTCCAGCCCCCACCTGTCTTCCTATCCTGTTCCTCCTCTCCTGCTAGTCTCTCTGCCCATCAGGAAGCAGCTCTCATCCTTTATAGAGAAGGCATCCAGAATCTAAAATCTTATACAGACTTCTCAGGTAGGACTGGAGAGCCTGGGCTTCTCAGAGGCTCAATTGAATTGGAAAATCAGAAATTATTTTCCCTTGTTCTTGCAACCACCTGTGCTAATTTATCCAGTTGGCAGATTAAACACTTGCTTAGGGCAGCAGTAAACCTGGCCACCAGGAAGTAAAATCAAATACAAACAAGAGACAGGAGAAGAGAGTCCTCGTCGATGAACCCATCCCTAATTTTTAATGAGCTAATATAGACAGAATTTTGCCATTTTAATTTCTAAGTGTATGTAAGTTTCATATTTGATAGATCAGTGTTATTTTGCTTTCAGTGACAATATGAGAGGGCAACAAATCTGTGCTTAGAGCTTCTGAAAATTTTAACTCAGCCCCGGTAAACCCCTAATGGAGTTCTTTGTGAGGATAGAGCAAAGGTGGGGATGAAGAAGGGGGATTTGGGTTTATACTTTTTACTCTTTAATTCTGAAATTTTCCCTGTGAGCAAAGATGGTGTTGCCTCACAAGAATAAATTACAGTATAGCTCAGAGGAATCATGGACATTGTGGATTCAGGGCTAACAAAGGACCTGGTTCAGGAGGGGCCAGGGGCTCATAGAAGATGAGGCAGGGTGACCAACTTGTCCCAGTTTTCTGGGGAATTGCCCAGTTTTAGCCCTAAAATTTCCACACCTGGGAAACCCCTCAGTCCCTAGCAAACCAGGATGGTTGGTCACCCATGATTAGGAAATAAATAGACAAATGGGCACAGTGGTTTTGGTTTCCACCATTGAAGGTGACCCAGTGGGCCAGTAAGTCTACAGCTGCCTGATTTTTGTGATCCCTCAGCCCAATTTAACAACATTTGGTAAATTATGAAAGGATGTGTATGCAAGTGAAACGGAGGAGACAGCAAGCAACAGGACAAGTTAAACTTGGGTAGCCCAAGGCTTGGGAATGTGACCTACACCTCCCCTCGGGTTCATTCCTGGGTCTCAGCCTCAAAGCTGTTGCAGCCAGTATGCCATGTGGAAAAAAAA